GCTGTGGCCCATGTTTTTAATCCACAAGAATAGGAGATTGCTGGTTTTAGTTACACCTTCAGTAGATGAATTACACACTTGGTGGCAGCTCTCATTTGACATGTAATAATCGATACTTCTCTGCTTACTCACAAATGGGTGTAATAGCAGAGAGCTACCTGAAGGTCCAGAGAAGGAAGAAAGTCTGTCATCTTAGACATCTTATATGCTTGTGGACCTTTTAGCCCAATCCTGGGGTTCTGCAGCTTTTCCAGCTCCATGAGCCTGGGGGAAATCTCAGCCTCTGGGGCAAGCAGGAGCAATTTTAGGAGAGCCCCATGGCACTGCCCATGTCCTAGGGACATGAGAGCATAGTGTCGGATAGGGCCTTCTTGGGAGGAGCACAGTGGTGAGCAGGCGTGAGGCCTCCACGAGTGCAAAACCCACCGCAGTTACATCAGCTTGTTCCTCATCTTTCAGTGGGTCATTACAAGTATATCTCGATTTGTGCCCATGCCTGTATGCTTACGTACATATGGCAGATGAATGTTTCTGTAAATGCAGTTTTCACTCACTGTTGAATGCTTAGGTCCCTCCCAAGACTCTTGCAAACAGTATCAAAGTCTTAGAAACCCATCATCTGACCTTTTTCTTTTGGAATATTTATTAGTGTACAACAGCTACAGACCTACTCAAAGTGTTAGGAGTAGCAGCAGCAGTAGATAACTATTACTAGTGTGCAGTCTTACTGTTTTTAAAGCACCAGAGTAATTAACTATTTTCATCCTTGTTTGATTGCAATTATACACAAATATAAACATCACTTAATGAACTTTGCAACAAGTGAGGGCTGTACCACTATTATATAGGGCAGTTCTGTATCTACGTGGTGATATTCCTCCTGCATTAGCATAATTAAATTTAAAGTAATATTGGTTACAGAAGGAGTTTGTTTTATTGCACCTCTCAAATGAATGTGTGTCAGGGAATATATAAGTGAGTGGAAAAAGTCTGTCTGGAAGTAGGCAGCATGCTGTGGTGTATTGCGTTTCGCTGACATGAGAGGAATGTGGCAGTGAGGTCTACAGTTGCCTGCTGTAGTCACTAGCACTAGGGCTGAAAAGCAGCTTGGGATGTGCCTTTTGCTTCATTAAGCAAAAGGCTTTATGCCTGTGGCATGAAGTGCTATAAAACACGGTGGTATGTTGTTAGACAGGATTGCCAATCTCAAACATCTAAAATCACAAGTCAGATATTCCAACATAGAATCTGTCTAGAAATTAGGGATATGGTTTTTTTAAACTCTTTATTTCCTTTTTAATTCTTAAAGTTCATTTATTTTTAAGTGAAAGCTGAGATCTTCACTGAAAGTTGAGATCCTCACCTGACTTCAGGGCTTTAAGAAAAACACCAAATTTCAAAAAACTTGCAAAAAGGTCATAAAAGTTCTTAACAGTGAGTCAGGCATCTTCTATAGAAGCTGTGTGATTGTATAAGCTTTGTCATTGTAAATAGGATCTAAAAACCAGGGATGCAAAATGCAGGCTAAGCTCCTGGCACTTGCAGTTTAGTTGAGGTTTGCTTACCTTTAACAAATGTCACTAAATGTGCTGGCTCACATTATTGAGCAGCCAGCCAAAAACAAACAAAAAAACCACCCCACCACAGTCTAGAAAGCCTGTGTTTTGTGGGGGATTCACAGTGAGACAGTCTGTAGACCTTGCAGCCAGAGTTACCTACAGCTGATCCGTATCTGATTCTGCATCAGAACTAGTGCGGCCAGCAGGAGTAGGGAGGTGATCGTGCCCCTGTACTCGGCCCTGGTGAGGCCGCACCTCAAATACTGTGTTCAGTTTTGGGCCCCTCACTACAAGAAGGACATTGAGGTGCTGGAGCGTGTCCAGAGAAGGGCAACGAAGCTGGGGAAGGGCCCGGAGCACAAGTCTTATGAGGAGCGGCTGAGGGAACTGGGGCTCTTTAGCCTGGAGAAGAGGAGGCTGAGGGGAGACCTCATCGCGCTCTACAACTACCTGAAAGGAGGTTGTAGCGAGGTGGGGGTCGGTCTCTTCTGCCAAGTAACAAGCGATAGGACGAGAGGAAATGGCCTCAGGTTGCGCCAAGGGAGGTTTAGACTGGACATTAGGAAAAACTTCTTTACTGAAAGAGTGGTCAGGCCTTGGAGCAGGCTGCCCAGGGAAGTGGTGGAGTCACCATCCCTGGAAGTATTTAAAAGACGTGTAGATAAGGCGCTTAGGGACATGGTTTAGTGGGCATGGTGGTGTTGGGTTGACGGTTGGACTTGATGATCTTAGAGGTCTTTTCCAACCTTAATGATTCTATGATTCTATGATCTGCTGTAACTTCTGCAGCCTCCCAGAGTTTCATCCTGTGCCTGTTGGGGTCAGCAGTAGAATGCCTGTTTTCAAGAGCAAGCATGTAATGCTGAGGGATGCATTAATTTCCTTGTGTTGTCTGCGTCTTCCAAAGAAATGTCAGTGCTGACCCCTTCCCTGAAAGGGAAAGTGTAAGGGATGGTGATGTCCCAGTTTTTCTCCCCACTCTGCTGAAGCGGCAGGCTGTAGCTTTAGGATTTTGAACTGCTGCACTGTCAGCAAGCAAGGAAGGTGGAGCATTCATGTTTCTAGGCACTTTTGCAGTGCTGGAAAAGCAATGCCAGGGCATAAGCATGGGCATTTTTAGGATCCTTTGTTCATTGTTCCTACTTCTACTCCTACTGACCTGCACTTCAGTCCCAAAGAAGACAAACTACAAAGCTCACACTTTGGAAAAACTAAGATCCAAGAATTTGAATAATTGTGTAGGATTTTTAATGTAAAACTCAAGTTTGCTGGTTTGGAAAGTGGGTGCTCCTGTACATAGGTTAGACAGTTGGCAGGTAAGCTGTAAATCTGCTTCTGTGCTATCTGCCCGTCTTGAACTCAGCTGAGATTTTTTTCTGCTGTGCAACCCCAGAAGAGACAACAATTCTTGAAATAACATTTCAGCACCATAAACGCTTCTCATTTGACGCTCTGACATTTGGCGCTGGCAGCTCAGCCTGCCTCTTCAGCATGCCTGTGGCTGTCACCATTCAGCCAGTCCTTCTTTCCTGCACGGCTAGTTCAGATGAAAATCACTTTCTCTCAAGAGTGCTCCAAGTGGCTGTTTAACGTGGCTAAGCCTCGGGAACCCTGTCATGCAAATATAAACTTGCTCTTAGGTCAACATTTGAAGCATCATTTTCATTGTTTTTAAGAATCCTATTAGTTATAGAAGATAGTTACAGAGGTTCCAGTGGTCTGGAACCACATCTTTCTGGCTCAGGGAGCTGTTACCACTACAGATGATGCTTTAGGTCTTGGAGGTGTACATGATGCATTTTTGTACTCTTGGATCTAGCAGTTCACCTGATGGTCCAATGTAATTGAAGCCCACTGAAGTCTGCAGGAGATATCATTCAGTTCGTAAGTACTTCCTCCACCTCCAGTGGAAACATTTATAGTCAGAAGCAATGCCTTGAAATGTTTTACTACTGTCACGTTGATAGGGAAAAAAATATACAGATATAAAGAGGTTGTGTGCATTAATTATTTATCTTGCAATCAAGAAAGTATAAAAATAATCCAGGGTGAAAATTGGGAAGGGTTGTAAAGGAAAGCACTGGCTTTTTCAGTTTGAATAATGCAGACCTCACTCAAGCTTTCTCCATAGAACATGAGGTCTAATCCCAGCAGAAGTAATACATGTTTTTTCTCTAAAACAGATTTTAAAATCATGCAGCTCTTGAGAGGAGACTAATTGTGCTCACTTAGCTTCAAGTGAATAATTAAATTGTGAAGAGTTATTATTTTCCTGGCTCCTCTGTAATGTTTCTTACTTACTAATTTTTAGATATTCAACTTTTAGACTTTTTAACATCAATCAAGTTCTGCTTCTATTGTCTGAAAAATAAAATATGTAAAGGAAAAACTGCCACAGATTTAAATACATTGTATTGTTACAGTATAAATATCATCATTGTAATTAAAACACTTGCAAATAGGAACCATCAACTTTTTCTCTCAGGGACTCAGCCACCTATGGGATTTTCGTGCCTTTGAAAATCTCCCCAGAGATCCAGTGTGCTTTGCTTCTCCTGATTGTTCATGAAATAAAATTAGCTTTTAGTCCTTTAAAATCTGTTGGTTTTATCTGCTACTAAATACACACGTAGTAAGTGCTGTGGAATCAAAACAAAAAACAAGTTACTCCTTCTACGCTTGTAGTTTTGATGAGATTTGCAGTTTGGCAAAAGTCAATAATCTGACTTTTACTGTATTTGGGATCATGGTGGATTAAGGTAGATCCCTTCAGCCTGGATCAAGAACCTGCAAGGTATCTTCAAATCAGAGGAAAGGGTCAATAGAAAAGAGACTGGAAAAGGATGAGAGAAGGCACCTGAGAAGGCAGGTAGCCTGGTCCTGAGGCAGAACTAACGACACCCACGCTGCTCCTTCTAAACATTAGCCTAGCGCCCTCTTAAAAGTCTCCACTAACAGAGATTCTGTCACCTAATGAGGGTTTGGGCAGATTCTTTTTCCTCTTAAAAATGTTTTCCTGATGGCCAACTCGCTCAACCAGGTGCTTGTGACTTTGTCCTTAACTCGCTGCCTTTGTGGGGAGAGCAGGATGATGCCAGTAGGTGGAAGTGAAAGGGGACGGGGAGGGAAGTGCTCAGGCGGTGGGAGGAAGATCATGGAGATGAAGGGCCTGGACGGAGAGCCCTGGGAGGATTAGGAGGAGAAGGAAGTGTTACCCATCCAGGCTCCTTGTCATCATGTTTCTCACTACCAGTGGCTTGAACTTTCTGATATTTTCGAAATGCTTTAGACAGATACTGAATAAGAGCAAAGTTTGGAATCTAAGCACAACCTCAGTAGTGGAGAAACCTCTGGGCCCCATCTGCAGAACTGAAAAATAGTAATACATTGACAGAAAGACATGACCATAATGCCCTTTTCCTGTCTTTTCTACCCTCACAGATGAACAGGAGCCAGCAGTCAGCAGTGATTCAGATATTTCATTGATTATGGCAATGGAGGTTGGACTGTCCGATGTGGAGCTTTCCACTGATCAAGACTGCGAAGAGGTGAAATCTTGAAAAACAAAGAGATCCAACACTAAACTACAGGGGAGGGTCACAGGGAGGGACCGAGTCAGCTTTCTAGGATTTGGACCAGTCATGCACATGCCTCCAGAGCACTGTCACTCCTGCACACTCCATTCTGAGATGGTCACGAAAAGCAATAGCAACAGTTGTGTCTGCCTGGATGCGGTTTCATCATCTACATATGTTCATTTTGTTCACATGGGAGATGAACACTACCAGTTTACCCATGTGCTTGAGAGCAGTCATGTAACTCTTCAGTGGCTCATAAATACACAACTGAAATGACAGCTTGAGTGTTTTCTACACTTGTTCGATCGGGTTTTTGTTTCTTTTTTTTTTAAAAGACATATGTTTGTTATGTTTGTTTGTTCATAGTTTGTTATGGATGGACACTCCGGTTTTGTTGACTGACCCCAGCTTTTTCAAGAGTTCAATCCAGAAATTTGAATTCCCGTTCACTGGTCACTTCATGATCTGACTCCAGGATTTATCATTGCCTTCTTGTTTCTGCATTACTTACACGTAGCTTCAGAAGGATGGTGCACCAGCACCCTGCACTATTGTGAAGCCTGCTTTCATTAAGTGGGAGCCTTGGAAATGGTATATTCTGAAGGCCTTTTTTTGTAAGAGAGCTCTGAATTAACAGAGATTGCTGAGATTTGGGTTAAAACTGCATTATGTTGGCTTTTACTTAGAGCTCTGTTCTAGACAAGTATCATACAGTGTGAAGGAGAGAAAGAAAAGCTTAAAGCTTCACTCCGTCCTTGTAGTCCTTTGCTATATTTTACGCTATTAGCAGTTGCCAGTACATTAATGGCCTTCCTTCAAGTCACAATTCAGTAGCTGGAAAAGAAGATCCAGTATAACATTATGTTTTTTCTTAATTTTACAGACCAAAATCTGACCGGTAGGCTAAAGGAGTGTCTGAGAGGTTTCCAGAGGCTGCTTGTTAACAGCTGTGCAATATGCAGATGACAAGAATATTCTTAGAAAGGGTCTGGAGATGCTGATATCGGTGTCAGAAATTGCTAATGAAGCAGGAGGCAGCTGGTTGAAATGTTTACTTCCTGGTTTGTTTTGGGTTTTTTTCTTAGTGCGTTTCACTTCTGGTTTGACAGTTTTTGCCTGCTTGTTATCGAACACAAGAGTTCAGGCGGTCCGTGGCCCTCCCGAGTCCCTGTCAACATTGTCGCAAGCATAATGGAATGCTTGCAATTTGTATATAGGTATATATACCAAAATATTTTGGGTAGAGGGGGTGGAATTTGAAAATAAACAGAACTAACATAAATCAAAACACCTATATAATAACCACCTGTGATGATTATTTAGTTCAACTTGAGCTCTGCTTTCCAGGGAAAAGCTTATTGTTACTTGTTCAGTGTACAATTTCGTTTTTCAGTCAAAATACTCAACTGTGAAGAAGCATTTTTAGCTTACTGTTACACAAGAGTAAATGGTTTCTGTTGACAGTCAGATGATTTGAATCACATTACCGCCTCCTGAGTAAGTCCATAGAATCAACAATTCATCTTACATCGAAATTTCATGGAGAGGTCAAACATTTTGACTTGATGGTGTCACGGCAGCATCTCAAAATGCAACTATTAGGGTTCTTGCTGCATTTAATCTCCTGGTGGATTTACTCGTTAGGTGTGGAAACCAACTTCAGCCAAAATTCGGTTTGTCAGATCTTATTCAGGAACAAATGGGTTTAGAACTATCCCTAAAATTTTGGCCGACTTGCTTCTTTAGTACAGGAAGAAGGAAAATTATACTCCATGCTTTTCAGTCCAGTTAGAACTCAGTTCACTTTATAGCTTAATTTTTTTTATGTTCTTAGTCCCTAAATTGCAGGGTAACTTTGAGGCAAAGGAGCACAGCCTAATCATCCTTCAAAACCATGATCCGGAAATGTGCCATTACATTTTTATAAGCCATTTGAAAGGACATGTCTTTTAATTAAAGAGATACAGGCAGCCGGAAATGCGCTTGGTTTAAAAAGAAAGTTAGAGATCGTTCCAGAGGGCGCAGCTAGGTCAGTCTTGCCAATATTTGCGCTTCTGTAATCGTATTTTCCTTAGTCTTTAATGTCTTCTCTGTTCCTTGCTGCTATGGGAAAGACCCACAGCACCAGGGGAACTGATGCTGAAATTCACCCCTAACACAAGAGAATTTGCACAAGGTACCACAGCAGCTCTGCTTAAGCTCTGGAAATAATACTGAAATGGGATTTAAATGGTGCTTACACCAAATACTGGCCCTTCACACA